TCGCACAAGTTTCGACTTTTGATTAACGGAAAAACAGTTTCCAACAGATCTCTCAACAGATCATTTGTGTATAATATATTGAAGCAAACCCTGGCTAGTAACTTTCAACTTACTTCAGTGAGTCAAACATGTATATTCATTTTGTTTCCACTCCCAATTTCGATGCCAACCCCCCTCTCCAAAACAACAACTCCTAATTGTTTTGTCTTATCCCCATTGATTTATTTTTTCACAACCATCGAAAATATCCCTATCTCTATCCCTACTATCCCTACTAATATAATAAATGCGAATGAAAGTTTGTTTGTTACGGTTTCACGCAAAAACTACTCAACCGATCATCATGAAATTTTGTACACATGTTCTGGAGAAGTAACATAGGATAATTTTTATTGAAAAGAAATTATTTTGTATGTAAGATAAAAAAATTATTTGTCAAAAAAATCTCAAAAATCTAGCTACTTCAACGTCATCTAGGATTCCAGTAATGAAGTTCCAACCCCTAGTATCGTAATACCGTCGTACTATATTATTCACAGTCACGACAATATCCAATCCAATCCAATCCAATCCATCCAACAGCTGTTTGGAATTCTTCTATATTTATTGTTATTTTCTTTTGTCATTTTTAGGTTAGGTTAGGTTAGAAGCTGAACTGAAGGAGAAGACAACAGCAAGCACAGTGACAAAGTGTTGTGGAGAGCAGCTGAAACGCCGCTTCAGGGTAGGTTAGGTTAGGTTAGGCAATTATACTAAAGGGCCCTAGAAAGAGAGATGACGTACTCTTTCAGTTGCAAGGAACGCAGATAGTGCATAGAGAATACGTTAAATAGCTAGGTGTTTATCTGGACGACAAATTCATGTGAAATGAGCAGATCAGAAGAATATGTGAAAAAGCGCATAGACAAACAGCGGCATTGACCAAATTCTAGCCGAACATAAGGGGGCCAGGGGTACAGAAGAGAAGGGTGATGTACGGGATAGTACAGTCGGTGCTTCTGTACGTAGTTCCGATAAGGGGTGGATTAATGCGGGTACAGACGTACAAAGTGATGATAAATTTGACACAGAAAAGAATGCTACTAAGAGTGGCAATGGCATATAGGACGGTATCCGCCGAAGCAATCAACGTTATAGCGACAATCCCACCAATCGATCTCTTGGTGGGAGAGCGCATCAGGCTTGATGCAAACGTAACGCAGTCAACAATATTAGACTGGCAGAAAAGGTGGCAGAACAACACCGGAAAAGCTCAATGCACCAAGCGCTTGATCCCAAATATAGATAGATGGTTGGAGTGTAAATACAAAACGTCAAACTACTTCATAAACCAAGCTCTTGGTGGACGCGGGTCCTTCAAAGCATACACCTGGAAGATCGGAAAGTCACCAGATAGTAAATGCGTTTACTGCCTCAAGGGGAACGACACCCCCGAGCACACTTTATTCGTATGCCCCAGGTGGGAAAGAGGGAGAAATGAACTGGAGATGGAACTCGGAGAAATTAACCCCGACAACCTTGTAGAAAAGATGATAAATAGTCACAGCCAGTGGAATAGAGGAGCGAGGTATTTGGAGAAGACGTTGAGACAAAAGAAAACGAGGAGAGGATGTTCGAAACACAAGCTAGGGAGGAAAGGTAATGAAAAGCGTCGCATGTACCTGATGTTATGTACTTTGGATAGTTCCGGGTACGGGAGAAGGCGAGGGGGTGGTTTTAGCCGGTACGAGTCCGGCACTACTGACACGTGATGGAAACCAAGCGGTCAGTGCCCATGAGGGTTTCCACCCCACCCAAAAAATAAAGGTTAGGTCAGGTTAGGAAAATCTTATAACATGGTCTACAAAACATTCTAAATTAATAATCTTCATTTTATCTTTTTACATTGTAAGAATTGTAATTTCAAAATCTACACCTCACGATTTGATTTCCACAAACTCCATGAAGTTTATGGAGATCAAACCGTGAGGTGTAGTTTTTGAAAATAAAAATTATTCATTTTTGTTACAGTAAAATATATTTTAACAAAAATCCCAGCCGAGCATCAAAATATACTTCTCATATTGATTCATTTCTATTATACTGACACTTATTTAATGGCATAAATGCGAGCGGAGCCACGAGTAAAAGCTAGTCTAATATACAGGCCATTTTTCATCTGATCCCACTATTGCTATCTTGGAAACGGTGAGATCTTCAACGTTAGTTGAATTAGAGAAAAGTTTCCTATTTTTAGGATCTAGAAGAGGGGTTTCCAAACTTTTTTATCACCGACCACTTTGGAAGTTTTGCTGGTTTCGGTGAACCCTCTCCACTTACATTGCTACCATATTCCCAAAACTGATGTAACTATGGAAATTTACGTTACGACTGCCTTCCATAATGGCTACAAAAATCTAAAAAATTAAGTTGATAATGAAATCTAATGGACGAAACGTCGCATTGCAGATTGGTTAATAGCAGATAACAAATTTGAAACAGCATAAAAAGTTCTCCCGCCTTTTTTATACCATCCAAAATGGAGTCGGTAGGGCCATAATCCCATTTTTTTTTTCATGTATTACTTTCTTTTTGTCTTAGCTTGGGTAGAATATTCTTGAGGTTGAGTGAAAGAACAACTCAGTAGCACTTGTGCTGAGTTGAACTACCCCTTTTGTTATATCAGCAATAAGCTCTGTAATTTATCTGAATATTTGTATGTAACTACAGCTGGGAAACAATGAAGACGATTATCATTATTATTATCAATATTATCTTGTAGGTCTTACCGTTTCCGGGATAGCTGAAAAAGAACCTGTATAAGTGATAGTATAGTGCAGATGTAGTCTCCCTTCTCAACTTTCGATGTTTATTGATGTTTGATTTTGGGACTAGAAATTTCGTCATTCCGCCGCCCTATGACAGATCTTATTAAATTAATATTCATTGAAAAAAAAGCGTCTTTTGCAACAGATTAGGTGCCAATTTCAAGAACATAAAATAATAGCATAACAGTAAAACATTTTGGAATGTATCTGGAGTAATGCTAGCACAAATTTCGCATATTTTATCTCTGAATCCTCGTTTGGTCCCAGGATGCGTGACATAAACTTGCGTTTTGATATATCATGACCGTTTGGCGGTAGTTGGTCGTTTTTCATTTGATTAGAGGTTTCCATATGTAACGTATTTTTACGCTAGCTTTACTAAATTCGTTTTTGGATAACATATACGCGGCTTCTTTGAATTTTCTCCTAAACCAATGTTCCTCTTTATGGAGGATTTCAGCTTGAGCCCACTTGATATTATGTTGATGAGCCCAAACATGCTCTGCTATTCCGGATTTGCTGGTTTCTCCTCGCTGTGTGTGTTTCTTGTGCTCAGCAATGCGAACTTTCAATGGCCTCTTAGTTTCACCGATGTATGATTCTCCGCAGTCGCAGGGTATTCGGTAAATGCAATTCTTGGAATCGCAGTCTGTGTTTGGTGGCCTGGTTTTCGTGAGGCTGCTGCGGATAGTGTTCCCAGATCTGAAACAGGTCCTGATGTTATACTTGGACCCAATCTTTCGTATCCTTTCCGATAATCTTCTGATGTAGGGACGTATAACTACTGGTTGTGGAGGGTTCTCTTTCTTGCTGTCTTCTAGCTAAAGCCTGTTCTACCATCACTCTGGAGTAACTTTTCCATTGAAGGTCGTTTTTGATGATGCCTAGTTCCCTTTCGAGACTTTCCTTTGTATTACAGAGCCCGAAGGTACGGTCTAGTAGAGTTTTGATGATTCCCCTTTTAGTCGATTGATGGTGGTTGGATTTCTGGTTCAGATACTGTCCCTGTGTAAGTGGGTTTTCGATATGAAGATGTTTCCCATATGGTGTCGGTCCTCTTCACCAATACGTCTAAGAATGGCAATTCGTTGTGGACTTCCTTCTCCATTGTGAAAGTGATGGAAGGACTTACGTTGTTGATGTGCTTCAGGAAAGTGTCTAGTTCTGCATTCCCATAGTTCCATATTATGAAGGTGTCGTCTACGTATCTCAACCAGACTCGGGGCTTCTTGTGGGCTTCTTCAATGGATATGAAGATGTTTCCCATATGGTGTCGGTCCTCTTCACCAATAAGTCTAAGAAAGGCAATTCGTTGTGACTTCCTTTTCCATTGTGAAAACGATGGAAGGACTTACGTTGTTGATGTCCTTCAGGAAAGTGTCTAGTTCTGCATTCCCATAGTTCCATATTATGAAGGTGTCGTCTACGTATCTCAACCAGACTCGGGGCTTCTTGTGGGCTTCTTCAATGGCCAGAGTTTCAAACCACTCCATATATATATTAGCCATAACCGGTGAAAGTGGCGATCCCATTGGCAGTTTCTCATCTTGCGTAAAGAATTCGTCCTTCAGTTGAAAGTAGCAGTTTCGTACACATCATCCTAGTAATTCCATGATTACTTATATCGGTAAGTTTGCCCTATCTTTCAGGTCCCCATCTTCGGATAGCTTCTTCTGTATAATTTGAAGTGCTTCTTTGACAGGAACGTTGGTAAAGGGGCTTTCCACGTCGAAACTGATCAGTTGACCCTGCTCTTTGATTTCGATTTCTCTTAGTAGTTCAACGAAGTGCCTTGAACTTCTCACAAAAGACATGTTCAACCTTGCAATACTTTAATTATTGGTAGTAAAAATCTGGACAAGTTCTGAGTGGCTGAATCTCTGGAGCTAATGAACGGTCTGAGCTGAACATCCTTTTTGTGAAATTTGGGTAGTCCATACAAGTGAGGGGGTTTACTGTGGTGCGGTGTAAGCGATGATCTCTCTTTTTCCGTTTTATGTTATTTCTTTGTAATTTCAGTTTTTTTAAAAATCCAGAGGGATTATTTTATACATAGTAAACAAAGGTCTAACTATTTGAAAGAAAGTCTGAGTCCGATCCAGCGATCGAATTCAGAGTATTCTCGATGGATTAAAACATTTGATTGCAGATTACGTTTAACGTAACTGCAGTTTCTGAGGAGATAAAAATCTTACCTGATAAGGATATTTGATCAAATTGGCCTCCGATAATGTGACATTGAGTACAACCATTGGTGTGACACATAGCAGGAACAAAATACTAGTAGATCCCAGCAGCAACACCAGTCGTCTTTCTTCCGCAAACTTCCTGGGATCCTCCTCACCAGAACACTTCCTACTCAAGATCATTTTTCTCCTTCTCTCACAAGACCGTCTGTAAACCACTAAAATCCTCAAATTCAACGCCGCCAATAAAATAACCGGTATCACTTTGAATATCAGTTCTAGGACAACGCTGTAGACACTATACAAGGGGTGGTTGATAAATTCCGTATCTTCTATCCTCTGGTAGATCAGAATCATCTCCGGAACGATCCTGCAAGTCCTTACTTGGCTACGAAAGAGAGTGGGGATGTAAAAGACGAAGGTTATCAAGGGGATGAGGGTTACAGCTCGAACAGGTGACCCAAGGATGGGCCTGGCGTGGCCTGGGTGGCAAACGCTGACGTATCTTTCCAGAGTTAAGGCTAGCAGCATCATCACCCCTATTCCTAGGCAGCCATTGCCGAGAAAGAGCTCCAGGTGGGCGAAGTAGAAGGCGGGAAGGGGATGTTCCCAATGACCGTGCTCGTGATGCACCAGAACTCTCCAGGCGAACGGTAAGGCGAAGAGAATGGCCAGCAAGGCTGCTCCCGAGTATCCTGAAAGAAAAGGGTCATGAGTAAAAGTTTGTGAACGAGTTGTATCGTTTTTCAGTGTTCATTTCTCACCTAATTATCTTCATAATATGAAATAATTCACAAACTAGGTAGAGAAATAATGGTCGGAGGAATATCTGCGATGACTCATTCGATTCGGAATGAAATTTAGAAAAACGTGCTGAGGCCGTTTTTCAGCACAAAAAAATTGCAGAAGTCATATATGAACTGAGATGTGAAGGAGGTATTCTTCGAGCTTTTGCAAATATTTCAAAAACAATGAAGGATCAAAAAACTTTAAAAAGATCTTTGAAGAGAAAGAAATTTACAAGGGAAAGTTCCACCTCCCGAAAATCTTTTGCCATTATTTTCTATTGTGTTTTTGATAATTATGTGCTATAAAGGTTGCATGAACCAATCGATTTATAAACAAAAAAATAAATATATCTTCAATATCGAAAACCGAACTAGGTCTGTTAATGCTCGCAATAGCTGCAAACTCAAGATACATGGAAGCAAAGAAGCAAAGAACTCCACAATGAAGAATTAGGGATGAACTGCTTGCCAATCCCAACGGGTCTAAATACTTCTGAAGCTGTTGATCAGAACTTTACAGAATCCAAAATTCTACCAGTAACAGAAGCGAATGGTTCAATTGCAACAACAGCCATAGCAAAAACAAATCTACTAGCTGAACAATTTGCGTCCCACTCCACAGTAGATTTTCTGGTAAAGGCACTATTCACTATTCCCACACTAGATTCTACAATGCCGGAAATTACTTTTCGATAACGTCTAGACAGGAGAATACCAAGCTCAATATCAACAGCTCAATATCAACAAGGCGTCTGATCCTGATGAAGTGCCCGTCATCGTACTTGAAAAGTGCGCAAATGAACTCGCACCAGTATTTTCCAGAATTTTCAACCCCTCTCACAATAAATAGGTCTTTTCTTTTTGTCGGAAGATTGCTCGCGTTCAGCCTGTTTCCAAAAAGACCAAGCAAACTCTTCAAAATAACTATAGACCAGTCGCTTCGCTATCAGTGATATCAAAAATCATGGAGAAAATCGTAAACCACCATATCCTCAAATATTTGAAAGGCTTATTCAACATCTTGAGCGATTATCAATATGGCTTTCGGAAACAAGGATCGACAGCTGACCTCCTATCGTATGTCACTCATATTTGGAATAACCCAATCGAGAAACATGGAGAATCAAAAGCTGCTGCGCTTGATACTTCTAAGGTCTTTGACCGTGTGTGGCATGAGGATTTACTGACCAAACTTTAATGTTATGGCTTTTCAGCTTTCTGAAAAAACGTTTCCTGTATGTGGCGATGGATATCTCTCGAAAACACATGTCAGGTCAGGCAATTCCGCGTTCTGCTTCGATGAGTTTGTTGGGGGTTAAAATGGACACCAATATATCTAGGCACAATCATGTTGCTGGAATTGCAGAGGCTGCTTCTAAAAAGCTTCGAACATTTTTCCGAATCAGAAAACTGTACACACTTCAGCAACTTTCGATGCTTCATGAAGTTATGAAGCTCCGATCAGACCTTCTCTTTAGTATTGTTCTCATGTATGGAGAGCTCCGTCCCCCAAACATACCCTGAAGCTTCTGGATTCCATCCAGAAAAGAGCTATTCGCGTGATTGGAGACGCGAACATCACTTGCAACCTTAATAATCTGGAACATCGAAGGAAAATTGGAGATTTATCTCTCTTCTATAGATACTTCCATGGAAAGTGTTCAAGTGACTTGGTACCAAGAACTGTACGTATCACCAAGATCGGTACATATCAGAAATACGCGACGGACTGTGGGTGGCTGCACATCGTTCTGAGGTTCAACTCAGTACACCTCAAACTTCACTGATCAAGAACAGGTATTCCCCTGAAATCAAGGAAATGCATGTTCGACTTTGTGAAATGGAAAGGGTAAAAAAACAAACACAAGACAAGAACTACATTGCAGCATATAAACATTTATTATGCACTGTTTTGGAACTTTTGCTGTAGTAATGAATATTACTGGAGTTTTTTCCAACACCAAATCGCTATTTTTAACACCTCATATAAAAATTATCATAAAAGTACTGAAAATATTCGGACAGACTCTGATATCTTGAAATTTCTAAAGTTATAAGGACGGGGGACTATTTACATCCGCACTGTATATCACAAACGAATCACAGATATCATGAATAACTCAGTTCAGTTACCGGAAAACAGATTTTCGCAAATTGCAATGCAAGCTTCGTTCGCAGAATGCAACTTTTTTTCATTTGTTTCGTTCTCCTGCCATAAATCTTCCGGGACTTTAGTTTTCCGGCTCTCCCGACGGCAAGAGATTTCGCGACCCACTTCCCTTGTTAAGCGGCCACATCAATTTCGTTTATTGTTCGGCCTTATCGGTAACGTCAGTTCTTCAGAACTGTGACCTCGTTCATTTACATATGCTTTTTATGCGAGATAACTCCTCCGTGAAAGTCTAATGGCTTCAAAATCCCTCAGCTGAGCTTCTCGTATGTTACAGTATTTCAGTAGCACTCGTTTGGACACCTGAGTGGTTTATGAGGGTTAGGAATCACACGTAAAAAGGTAAGACTTTGTTAATCCTCACCTCGCACAAGTTTCGACTTTTGATTAACGGAAAAACAGTTTCCAACAGATCTCTCAACAGATCATTTGTGTATAATATATTGAAGCAAACCCTGGCTAGTAACTTTCAACTTACTTCAGTGAGTCAAACATGTATATTCATTTTGTTTCCACTCCCGATTTCGATGCCAACCCCCCTCTCTAAAACAACAACTCCTAATTGTCTTATCCACATTGATTTATTTTTTCACAACCGCCGAAAATATCCCTATTACTATCCCTACTGATATTATAAATGCGAATGAAAGTTTTTTTGTTACGGTTTCACGCGAAAACTACTCAACCGATCATCATGAAATTTTGTACACATGTTCTTGGAGGTATTAGAAGTAACATTCCTATGTTACTTATTATTAAGAAGAAATAAATATAAAGATAAATATAAAGATAAAAAAATTGTCTGTCAAAAAAATCACATAAATCTAACTACTTCAACGTCATCCAGCATTCCAGTAATAGTCTGGTTCACATGTACTCGATTTAGCTCTTTTTGGTGACATTTTTCAGCCTTGTCCAAAAATTACGACCAAGTCATTCGATTCGTATTTTTGCCTAGAAAGTTTAAGGAAAGGTCCGAAAACGCACCGATAAAAATTACAAGAGTTATAAACAATTGAGTGAAAAAAAATGGGGCTTTAGTTTTTTCTAATATCTCGGAAAATTTTCAAAATTTTGGAAATTTAAAAAAAGATTTGAAAAGATCAATGAATTTGCGTAAAAAAAGTTCCGACTCCCGAAACTGTATCTCGATTATTTATAATTTTTACAGAGCCCTGAAAATAGA